GGTGAAATACTGTAACAGGCGGGCAGGGCTTCCGCAAGAGCCTCCCCCTCTTCTTGGTCAAGATAGATGGGAAGGAGATTTACTGTTTCTGGGTGGTGCCGCCCTCCCTCCTGCGATTCCCAGCCCATGGTGGTGGTGGTGGTGGTTATGGCGGTGGCGGCAGTTACAGTGGTTACTGTAACAGACGAAGGGGAAGAGAGAGAGAACACTAACTCGTCTCTAAAATTGAAGTTGAAGGAATTCCTTTCCAAGGCAATCATGACAAAAACGAAACCCTATAAACTGAAACATTCTTCATTGGTTGTAGACATCCATTTTCTCGTCTTATTCTATTTACTACAATAATGCTCACGACAAAAGAACAATTGCTAGCTTTATTTGCCTTTCTCTTGTAGACATCAAGGCATTTTTGTTCAAGTTGCAGAAGCTTCTTAACCCATTATTTTTTCTTCTTCCTCAGGTCCACCAGCAGAGGTTTTATTATGGATATGTGCTCCTTAGTTGGCAGCGCAGATGATTGACATTGGAAGAAACGGGCAGCGGTGGACGAGGGCAATCGACGAGAACAAGAGAGAATTTTCTCTATTTATATTCACACAGAACATGTCGGTGCATTAGCTGTGGCGAATTGGATAGAACCTCCCTGCCCGCCCTTCTCTATTTTGAGAGATACCTAAAATTGATAGTTTTTTAGAGGAAATCCAGATTTGCTCCTTTGGCGTTAGGTAAGAGAGAGATAAGAGATACCAGAGGTCCGAGAAGGGGTTGCCGGAGGAAGGGGATGAGGGAGAGACAACATTGGGTTTTAAAAAAAGTTTAAACATCACGTGGTCTCACGTGTATCTAGGTTTTGACGGAATACTGATGAATGTTAATGATAAGGGTAGAGTTAGTCGATTGTCAAAAACAATAGGGGTAGCATTAGTCAATTTTCAAACAGTAAGAATACATTTGGTCAATTAGCTAAACCATAAAGGTAGTTTAAGAAATTTACCCTATATTATATAACTATTATTTCTTTAATGCCACACATGCATTGGTGTCATAAAAAAAGTTAAATCATCATCATCATCCATGCCTTATCCCAATTATATGGGGTAGACTACATGAATCATGTTTCATCGATTTGATTTAAAGTTATGACTACCATTAAGTTATTGGTGCTTAAATCATTTCTTACTAGTTCTACCCATGTCCTTTTTTATTTATCCCAAGTTCTTTTAGGCCCTTTCGATCTGAAACAAATCACTTATTCTAATTGGTATAGTTGGTGGTCTTCTATACACATGTCCAAACCATCTTATTCTACTCTCTCTCTCTCTCTCTCTCTCTCATTTATCACCTATTGGAGCTACTCATGGGTTCTTATGAATAACTTCATTATTTATCTTATCATTTCTAACTTTCCACCCATCCATATTAGCATTTGCATTCTTATTACTATCATTTTCTATATATATTGTTTCTTAACTACTCAACACTTTAATTGTTCCATACAACACAACTGTCTTACAATTATTTTATAGAATTTTCCTCTTAATCTAAATGGTATTTTCCTATCACATAAAAGGTATGATGCACGATTTTGTTTTGCTCACCATGCTCTAATTCTTTGGGTGACATCATCTTCAATCTTGCCCTTGTTATGAATTACTGAACAAAGGTATTGGAAAAATGTCATGTTAAGTTATCTCTTGGTCTTCAATTCTATGTATATCTTGATTTACACTCCTATAATATATTTTATTTTGGTCCTACTTATTTTAAAACCTTTTTTCCCTAAGGCATTTTTCCATAAGCTTAATTTTGCATTTAGTCTTTCTTTAGTTTCATCAATTAAAACAATGGCATCCGCAAAACAATAAGCACCATGGAACTTCCTTTGAATATGTTCAATTCATTTATGATCGATGCAAATAGATAATGGCTAAGTGTTGAATCTTGGTGAAAACCCATACTAACCTGAAGTCTCTCTCACTGGTGTTCTAACATTTATTGTTGCCCCCTCATACATATCCTCAGTATATATATGCACTCCTTTCTTTTTTCTAAGACCCACCATATTATCTCTCTATGAATTATATCATATGCCTATTTTAGATTAATAAATACTATATAAAGATTTTTATTATGCTCTCTAATTTTTTTTATTAATCATCTCAAAAGAAACATAACTTCAACGATTGATCTCCCTATCATAAAACCAATTAAATTGGTTATTTTATTTATTTCAAGTTGTAATATCTATTCAATTATTCTCTCCCAAAGTTTTATAAAATGATTTATAAGTTTAATTCCTTGACAATTATCACAACTTTGTATATCATTTTTGTTCTTAAATATAAGCACCATAATGTAGTTTCTCCGATCATTATACATTTTATTTTCTTTCATATTCTTATTAAATAGCATGGCTAGCCATAACAAGCCTACCTCATTCGTACGTTTCCATATTATATTGGAATTCCATCAGGTTTTAATGGCTTTCCCTTCATCTTATTTGATGCCTCTTTTATTTCAATAGGTCTAACTCTATGAAGGTATGAAGGTATGTATTATTTTTAATACTAGTAGTATTGATAGATTCTCCTCAGTTAGCACCCTCTATCAATTGCTCGTTTAATAATTTTTTCAAAATAGTTTTCATCTTTGTTTGATTCCTTATATTTTTATTAAGGCTATTTAACCTTCATCGTTGATACTTCCACTTTTGTTAGTTTATATGTTCCTCTTTTCTCCCTATTTAGTGCCTAATTTATGGTAAAGCTCACCATAAGGCTTTTATTTAACTTTGCTTTCTTTCTTTTATAATTTCATTTCTTATGCTTTTTTTTTAATTTTTATTGGTTCTTTACATTTATAGCCTTTTGCCATTATTTGTAGCATGCTCATTTTAATCTAGTTATATTTTGAATCTCTTTATTCCACAACAAAGTTTCTTTAATATTTTGCCACTTCCCCTTATATTATTTTAAAATATCATTTTCTATTTTTTATATTGTTTATCATTTCAAGCTAAATATCATTAATTTTTCCATAATCATAATATTTTAAACCATGGATGCAAATGTTGGTTGCCCAATTATTTTAATATTCAATACACTTACAAGTTACAAATATAAAAAAATCTAAATCTAAATTATCAAGACATTCTTTAAATTTCCTTTCATCTTTTACCTTTATCTTTTCAATTTAAACCATTATTTTTCAGTGTTGGTTGTCCAATTATTTTAATCTTTAATAAACTTAAAGTTTGCAAATAAAAAAGATCTAAATTATCAAGACATTCTTTAATTTATTTAATCTTTTACCTTTTTTTTTTAATTTAAATTACTTATAATTAAAATCTAAATAATATATTTAAATCTTAAATTTCAAAAACCTCAAATCTAAAAAGTAAAAACGTTGAAAATTTAAGTGTAATCATAGGTCAATAAATGAGCTTGGCTCGGCCTAGGATTGTGCCCATCCGGGCCTAGGCCCAACTAGGGGTGTCAATTGGACTAGATTTGGTCCAATTCGGTCCAGTCCAATGTGAGTCCATTACAAATGGACCTGGTCCAATTCAACCAATAAATATTTTGGACTGGTCCAGAGACTGTCCAATCTGTTCAAATTCTTATTAATTTAGATTGATTTCAACTGAAACCTGGTCCATTAACAATTATGTCTTTATCTTCTATCAATGGACCAGATATTGGCCCAATCCAATATATAAATTCATTATGGACGGACAGGCCTAATCCAATAAGTCATATTGGTCTGTCCAATCCGTCTAAATTCAGTGTCATATTGGTCCGTCCAATCTGTAAAAACTGATTTTGCTTTTGATGAAATCCAACCCAAAACCAATTCATTGACACCACTAGGCCCAACTAATACCCTTTGGCACAGATTTTAAGCCGTGTGACCAATTAAGCCTCAATTTAGAAGTAGTACAAATGCAAATATATACGGCATAAATACATACAAAATAATATAAAATATAAGATTTTGCACTCTACCTATTTACATTTATACTCCTTCCGAACTCAGCCTAAAATACTAAACTACTAGGTTAGTGGAGAAAGGGTGAACCGGAGACAAGGTAGGAATGCCGAAGGCGTGTTCAGCCTCTACATCCAGTACACTCAAGTCGCATTTGGATCACAACGGCGGATTTGGATTTAAATTTTATTTACACAGTCGACGCCTCTACGGATTTGAAATGACTAGATCCTTGTATAGTTGTATGTATGAGGTTAAAGATGGCCGAATTCCATGATGGTGCAAAATGGAGTCCTCGTACAGAATCCGGAGATTCCTGCGAATTGACAGGTCTGCCGTAAAATCCAGATCCACCCTACTCTAATATCTAAATTCATTTCTCACGGCCAGTGAAAATATGACAAACCGGATATAAAGTTACCGGAAACAGGGGGAAGTATAAATTTTTCTGGAAGATTTTTTGTCGGGAAAATATTTCATCCTTTCCCATTTGACTCCGGTAGACCATCAGATTTGCTAATGGGGTTGGTCCATTTTGTGAAGGAGACGATGTTCATCTTGCAGTAAGCTAGCTTTTTATTAGACTATATATATCTCTGTAAAAGTTTCCGATTGTAACGTTGGATTTTCTCCGGACCCACCTTTATTGATCTACAGCTTGTGTTGATTTAATCCAACATTATTGTATTTCGTCGATCGGAATCTTGTATGGTTTAGTGTAATTTCATTCATTGTAACTGATGCATGCATCATGCATTTCAGTAAAATCTTTCACTTACAAGTGTAGATGTGAGACGACCCACGTTAATGAACAGGACAATATTCAATCGGGCATGAACCGTATACCCGTAACTCAGCATTGCCCTTCGTGGCGTATGTTAAGAAGAACCCAACAAAAGGAAGCTAATATACGCGTCTAGGCGTATTATGCCTATTTGAACTTGAGATGAGAAATAAATTTGCAGACAACAACCAGCCCAGGAAAAAGAAAAGAAATTATATATTTGCTCGTATCCTCCCCCCCACCCTTTGTCTTCTCTCTCTCTCTCTGGTCGGCGAAGAAAGAAAGAACTAAGAGAAAAAAAGAAAAAGCAGTCATGGTTTCGACAAGGCGGAGCGGATCTCTCTCGAGTAATAACAGCAAGAGATCTTCTTCCGACGAGAAGCCCTCTTCGCCGAAGCGACAAAAGGTCTCGAAGATTGATGGATAGCCAAGAAAAGTTTTGGCTTCCTTTTTGGTGTCTCTTAAGCTCTGGAAAGTTGCTTTTTTTTTTTATTCTTAGTGTTCTTCACCTCCGATTTTTTGAAATATGTAGGTGGAAAATGTTGCCGGAGCTGAGAAGTCGACTCAGACATCGGGATCTTCAGACAATTCGAAGGAATCATGTTCATTGCCATCTTCGGACCCCGTAGAATGTACTCCAGTCGATCCTCCAATCTGTGATGGAAGCGGAGCCGACGCTTTGGATTCTGGCAAGGGGGAGAAAGAGGACAAGGGAGCTTCTCCTGCAGTTCCCGTGTCGACACCGATCGCTGAAGGTAGTTCTTTTGATAAATTGATCACTCTGCATGTTCCAATCTGTATTTTCGTGGTTGTTGGGGCTTCTTGGACGGTGAATTAGAAGCCTTTGAGCTTGGATTGTTCTTGTTCTTTTGAAGGGTCTTCGACGATTGTGGGTGATAAAACAAGGACTTCTTTCTCTTCGTGGAGTTTGTATCAGAAGCAGAACTCAAGTTTTGACACTTCGACTCCTTGGTGCAAACTTCTGTCGGAGTACCCACAGGTAAATTCGAGCTTAAGGCGGTATTCTTGGGTCCTATTTTTCTCTTTGGCAAAGATCCCTCAATGCGAGTTGTGTTCTTCTTGGTCATTGTATACTAAGTATTCTAGAGTTGCTTTTTCTTTGTTCTTATTTTTTGGGTTTCTTTTCTGTTAAATTTTCCTGGGTTTTTGCTGAATTTATCGAATAGCGATTCTTAAAGGGTAGGAGGGGGATAAATGGGCTAGATCCTTTCAGAACTACTGGCGTTGGTGGCTCCCTACCGGCTCGACCGGCTCCTCCTACAAAGTTCACCCAGGAAAAGAACAAAAGAAAAAAATCGTTTTTGTGTTCATGCAGACATGTTGACTTGAATGTGGCCACATTCTCATTTTTCAACTTGAATCATATTCTTGGGTTGTCATCTTATAAGGTGAACTAATTACTTTGATGCAGAATCCGCATGTTCCCATCTATTCACCTCTTTTCACCATTGGTTCAAGTAGAAACTGCAATTTGTCTTTAAAGGATCCAAACATTAGTGCGGTTCTATGCAAGATCAAGCACACACAGGTAGTACTTGGACACTAAGCTTACTGTATTCTCTCTCTCTCTCTCTCTTGTGAAGATGTATCTTAGAGTGGTCTACTTGGGTACCTTTGGTTGCTCATACCGTAGACATAAACTCTCTAATGTGTACATGCAGTATAAGTACTCATTGTTTGTGGGCATGGTCAGCGTGACAACAGTGTCATTGCCATGATCGAAAGCACAGGGAGCAAGGGAACTGTGCATATAAATGGGAAGTTGCAAAAGAAGAACAGCAGCTGTGTCCTCAACTCCGGGGATGAAGTTATCTTTGGTTTAGCGGGAAATCACGCATATGTATCCTTATTATATGATTTTCTCTGTTTTTCTGTTTTGATTACCACTTCACATGATTTTTATCTTACTTTTATGGGGAGGTTTCTTAATATTCACCAATATAGATATTTCAGCTACTTGTACCTGAGTTTGTGGCTAAAGTACCTTCATCAGTTGGAGTTGCAGAGCCCAGCTGTGTGGGTAAGGGGCTGAACCTTGAAAGGAGGTCTGGTGATCCTTCTGCTGTGGCTGGGGCTTCTATTTTGGCATCTTTGTCAGGCTTGAGAGAAGATTTATCTCTGTTGACACCTCCAGCTCAGAATCCTGGTGAAACCCCCCAAGGAACCGAGGGGCCAACAAGTCAACTTGCTCGTCCTGAAATTGACCTTGATGGACCACAAGGGAAAGGGAATCCTGATCCAAGTGCAGGCAGTGATAAAGTTTCTGAGGCTGGAGCTACCAACAAAAGCTTTCATCTTGACAACAACCACGACTCTGGTGTAGAATCAGATATTGTAAAACTCTCTGGGGTGAATGATTCACTAAGACCTTTCTTGCGGATGTTGGCTGGATCATCTAGTTGTGACCTGGAATTGAGCAAACATATCTTTAAACAGGTATTAGAGGAAAGAAAAGAATGGACGAGGGATTCACATCAAGCATCGACATCAGGCGTTTCACCCAAATGTGCAGCTTTCAAAGAAGATATTCAAGCTGGGATTCTTGATGGTAGAGAAATAGAGGTCACATTTGACAATTTTCCATACTACTTGAGGTATGGGTCTTCCTTTCTGTGTGTTATTCTTTTTCTTTTTCAATCTTCTTCTCTACTTCTCTGTTTAGGTTGTATTTGACATTCCTTGTTTTAAGGACTTGTCTCCTTGTTTCAGTTAAAATTCCCCTATGAACACTGAGTTTTTAACTGCAAAAAGGAGATGAGTCCTTAAAATAAGGAATGTAAATGCAGCCTTAGTTAATTATCCTTTTTTTTTTCCCTATATGTGCTGGCTAAATCAGATTGGTTGTACAGTTGATTGAAATACCTGTCTCTGTTTCAACTTTCTTCAGGATACCATAAACATATGAATGACCCATACTTAAATATCTAGAATCAATGCAAGTTTCCTAATGAGTTAAAGAAGCTCATTACAGTTCTATCTATCAAAAAAAAAAAAAAAACTCATTACAGTTCTAGGAATTTTGCCGTAGTCACTTCCAAAATTAGTTGATAGAAGATGCTGTTCCCTTAACTAATCAATTTTCCCGTGCACCTGACTTGAACTGAATAAAGTTGAGCTAATATACTTTCGGTCAAGCTTGTCAAAATGTTCAAAACTTCAAATGGGCCTTTAGTCTTAACTTCCTAGACACCTTGAAGAATAAGCCTGTTTCTTAGATGAGAAGAAACTTATTATACATGAACTTAGTGTATTTGTGTGTTTTAGGCATGTTATTTAGATATAACTTTAACTCTTACAAATACAAGTAACTAATGAGCTCAAGGTATTTTTTTTCCTGTTGGTAAAATCTATGAGCTCAAGGTACTTGTTCTATAGTAAAACCTAATGAGCTCAATGGATTGGATTTAAATCATTTAATGCCATCAAGAGCATGTACTTAATCAGTAATAGAAGGACAAGTGATAGAGAGGGTGAAATGTGAAAATATTAGAGTTAAACTGACAATTAAGTAGTAATTTTTTAGTCATTTTTATAGTTCTATTGACTGAATTATGACATGCAGTGTATGAGAAAGATTAGTATTGAGATGAGTTAAAAGGAAAGGAAAGAAAATGAATGATGAGAATCTGTCAATTGTAATGAGAATTAATTCAATTTCTTCTTTTGTGGGATCCAAAACAGAAAAGGAAGCTGAGAGAAAAGGAGGAAAAACTTTCCTTTTGTTGTACTGATGTTTTCTTTTATAAAATGTCCAAGGAAGTGGTTGAAAAGAAAACAAATTAAAGAGTAAAGAAAGCTTATCTCATGTAGCATATTTTCCATGTATGGTTTGTTGTCTTACTTTTTTGCAACTGGCAAAAGATAGAGCTCCACCACCTGTCTTCTTATTGGGCAACTTGAATTTAGCATTTATCATCCTTCTTAAGGTTGCTGGATTATATTTTGTATAGCTGTAAGTGTTAATATTTCAAGAAAGAGTAGTATCTTATGCTTTCTAATTCCCCTACCCCCTGCTGCAGTTCAAGTACCAAAAATGTTTTGATTAATGCTGCATTTATACACCTGAAGCGTGGAGAATATGCAAAATATACATCAGACCTTCCTACTGTAAGCCCAAGAATTTTACTATCTGGTCCTGCAGGTGGGTTTGTTTTTCTTCACTCAAAATTGATTTTGGATTGTTTCATCAATTGTGTAACCAAGTGTTTCTAAATGGTTGTGCAGGGTCTGAGATATATCAGGAGATGTTGTCAAAGGCACTTGCTAATTATTTTGGGGCTAAATTGCTTATATTTGATACCCACTCATTTTTGGGTGTAAGATATCAATCATCTAAATATTAACATCTTATTATTAGAACACTTTCTATTTCTGTTTTTTTAACTTATATTATAAGATTTTTATGTAAAATCATTTCTTTGTGTTGGTCCAGCATATTATAATTATTTGGGTAGATTTCAGACTGTCATCCTGATCTTTCAGATTCCAGCAATTTGCCCCCATCATTGGCATTTCATCAATTAACTTTCAGAGAAGATTTTCACCGGGCTGTTATGTGTATGTTGAAACATTTCTAAAACCCAAACTTCCCTTATACCATGTTATGTGATCATTTTGTAGAAAATTGATAAAATACAACAACAAAAAAAAAATAACATAATGGAAAAGTAGGAAATTACCAAAAATACAGGAAATACAAGAAATAATGTAGAAAGAGGAAAATAAAACAAAATACAAAAAACAGAAAATTGCAAAAAAGATAACAAAGAGAAAGAGAAGAATATAGAAAACACGGAAAATTGCAAAAAAGGAAATTGAGAAAATACAACAAAAATACAGACAATCGTGTACAAAGAAAAAGAGGAAACTATAGAAAGACAGAAAAATACAAAAGAATACATAACTTTAAATGGGCATTTTTGTTATTTTATCCTTACCATCAAGCACATTGACGGGGGCAGTGACAAAGTTCTGAAATCTGAAAGTTCAAGGTGAGTCATGGTCACAAATGAAAATTTGGTGGGCTAAGTGTCACTAACCCCAAGGCACTGGGTGGCCGTGGCAGTCTGTAATTTACCTAATTATTATGTATGCATCATTTTATTATTTAATACAGTTGCAAAAGGGGAGTTGTCAACCAGCAAACAGATCCTCAATTATGTATGTATTGTAGGGTTTATCCTCGAAGGATTCAGATGTTCTAAAAGATGGACTAAAAGCAGAAAAAATATGTAGTTGTTCAAAGCAACGCCCTGGACATGCTGATGTTGCTAAGATCAACATTCCTCTGGCTGGGGAAGCAGATATGCCTGATTCTTCAAGTACACCTTGTGGTCTGGACTCTCAAACAAAGTTGGAGACAAATACTGCACCGTCAACTTCCGGGACTACTAAGACTCATCTTTTTAAAATGGGTAACTATACTCCAAATGGGACTTCATTTTCAGGCTTTTCAGCAACATCCACCACTGAGTTTTACACCATTTGATATTTATTTGTTTTAACTTAACTAGATACTTCAATTATGAAATATTCAGGTGACAGAGTAAAATTTGTGGGTATGGTTCACAATACCTCATATTCAGCAACTTTGCCTGCAAGGTACGGGCTATCTTTACATAACTTCTTACTAGTACTGCTTGCTTTTTTTTGTTTTTGTTTTTTTTTTTTAATTTTTAAATGTGCTGCTTCTTTTTGATCGTTTGTATGCATAATTGGACTAAGCTTTGGTTTCTATTTGTGTTTGTGTCAGTGTGTGTATAAGGTATTAGTTGTGTTAATTTCTTAATGACTTTAGGTGAGGAAGATAGATGAAGGCAAAGAAGAAAGGGGAGGAGAGAATAGAATATGTTGAATGGCGAGATATGTAAAAAATTAGGTTGAATTCCCACCTTGTTAACTTTTATACTAACGGGAAATAATGACAAATTAGCCCCCAATGAAATATATTGTATTTGCTAAAATGTGCCATACTTTACAAAGGTACACTATCCTGAGGTAGACGCTTTTCATCCATAGATCCAGCCTATCATCATCCATGTAGATAATTAGAATGGTCACAGAGCACCTCCATCTCTTTATAGAGAGAGTTCAATCAAGACCAACATTAGACTGTTTAAAATCAATTCTCTAAATAACTCTCCTAAACCTTTCAAATCATGCTCTGGGAGAATGCTTCATGCCATTAATAGACTTTTGTAGTTTGCAAAACTTACCTTGGCTATTTGTAATATAAACACTTGGTGGTAAGTCCATATACACATCTTGTCGTTATTGAAGAATATTTTTGTAACATCCAATTGATGTAAGACTTATAAAAATATTTAAAAATCATAAAAAAAAACATCCGATTGATGATGGGCCATGAGAAATGAGTAATTAGGGACAGTTTAACTCAAGTAGAGTTCATTTTGGCAATTGGACTGAATGTCTCTTGGTAATCAATGGGCTACAAGTTGTGACTTCTACCTCTCTACGGGCCTATTTATCTTATATTTCATTGTGTACACCAGTCTACAGCCCATCGATTCCTCGCCTTGAGGTAGTTTAACTAACTCCCATGTTTGATTTTCAATGAGAGCTTTCATCTCTTGGGCCTTAGCTCTTTTCCGCCAGGGCAATCTCATAGAAAAGACACTAGAAACAAAGGCATAATATGGAGATAGTGAGTTATGCGACAAGTAATTAGAGATAAAATAGGCAACACAAGCAAAGGAAGAAGATTGAATGCACTTATCTTTTCCCTTTGTCTAGTGTAATTGATAAATCAAGATCTAGAATTGTATCAGATAATGATGCATTAGGTGAGGAATCAATATGATTAAAAGAAGGCTAATTACTTGGAAAATGAGTGCCTGGTACCTGCAATTCTTGGACATTAGTAGATTGAATAGGAGGAACAACAAGGAGAATAGGACTAGGGAGTAGGGACAAGAAGTATAGGGATAGGTAAGGGAAACAAAAAGGATTACTCTATGATCTAGCATACGAGAAGGAAATAAGGATATAGATTCAAGAAAAATAACATCTTTGGAGACAAACCGTTTCGCGAGGACAAGATAAAAAATCTGTATTTCTTTTTGATTGGAGAATAGGCAAGAAAAAAAACTCAAGAGATTTGGGATGAAACTTGACTCTAGTGGGACTCATGTCATGAACAAAACATACACATCAAAAGAGTCTCAACAGGTTATCAAAAAGAAATTCATCAGGGCAGAGAACTTGATGTAGGGATTGAAACTGAAGTATCCTTGAAGACAAAAAATTTTGGCAATGCATACGGGTAGCAGTGCTGTGGGGTGTATGGAATGAAATGCAAGAATGATGATAAAGCCTCAACTATGGAGGAAATCATTGATTTGACAACAGTTAGGGTTGCCCATTTGGCCATGGTCATTGACATGCCAAGAGTATAGAACATGGTAGCTGGTTACCAAGTTGTGAAGCAACATGGGTTGGTTTTCTGGACTGCTGAAGTCGTGGGCAGATTAAAATTTAATTTTGATGGTTGTAGATTTTTGGACTTTCAATATATTGTGGAGAACTCAGCTCATATCTTTAGAAGATGCTGAATCTATATCCAGCTTCCCTTTGAAATCGAATTCATGCTCTTTAAATATATATAACCAAGTATGCCAAGATCTATGGACAGTATGCAGTAGTCATATCATCATTCCATACAAGCAATAGATATGGTTCCCTGGTATCAGTTTGCACAAGATGAAGACAACAGAACTTCTTTTATTACTAGAATAATAAGTTGCTCTACATTGTTTAACTAACTATTTACATTTGCAAACTTAAAATAGACATTGACAGAAAGAGGCTGGTAATCAAAGACCTTAGAGAAGCAAAAGAAACATGCCCTAGGCAACAATGCCATAGCCTTATTTGACTTGATGAAACATCACCATTAACACTCTAGGACTGAGGCTGGCATCCAAAGAATTATCTTGATGACTAGTTCAAAAGGTAGATTCCATTAACCTAATGTCTATTTCTAATCATCTTATCTGTGTTCACATCTTGATTCTGGAAGAATAAAATGATTAGGAAAAAAGATTACACAGCATACTAAACCTTTTGTAAGAAACCAACAAACAAGTGATTGGTATTGAATTGAGGTACATGAAAGGTTGTATCAAGTAAGCTGCCATCACTTAGCCTCTTCAGTCTTCACACAGCAAATGTGGGGGCTTGAGATCCATTGGCTATACATATTTTATGTCCACTAAAACACAGTATTTCAGAGGTAAAATGGGGAGATGTATTCGTCATATGGTCTAAGGCACCAAAATCAATTATCCAAGGTTAGGGTGTAAAGGCATGACAAGCAAGGGACTAGAAGAATTGGATCGGATCCACTATTGCCCTCTAGCTGAATCAAAAAGCTTGAGTTTCCCCAACACGCCTGAACTACATATCCCAAATGAAGCCAAAGAAGCAATACAGATGGATGTTGAGAATCTGAAGTAGTGGCATGTTATTCTCCTTTCTTGCCTCCTTTGAAACAAGCAGTCTTCAATTATGGGTGAAGCTTCCAACAATAGTCCCTTGGGTGCTTGAGCTTCTTGTTGCAGACACATACAATAACTTCTGATTCTTCTGTTGACACATTCTTACTCTTACCAACCTCTTTATATTTGGTAGAGACCATCATAGAAAGATCAGGCTTTGAAGATTGAATCATGCCCACCCTATAGCTGTCCTCTCCCTGCACTAGTGACTATTTAGTAGAGAGGCTGCAATTTTCAGTACTCAAAATATGCTACCTAGTGTAGTCAAACTTTGGACTAAGACCTGCCAAAAATTCAAATTCTGTTATTTTCAATGAACTTTCTATATTGATCGACATCAACTGGTTCTGTCCATTCAAAAGTCTCCAAATGGTATACCTTTTCTGATTCTGACACTGTTTTCAAGGAAGAGAACTACATAACCTTTGATCCTCTCCCCTTATTTTCATATTGTTAAGTGCTAACCCCCTGCATAGCTGATAGAGCCTGGTTGTATTTTGGGCTTGAGAATTCGTAGTATTCACTCTATCCCAGATGTCCATGGAAGTGGACAGGTATATGTAGTTCTTTGCAATATGTGATTGCATCGAACTGATAAACCATGCCATCATCAGATTTTCCTTCTCCCTTGTCGAATATGCAGGATCATTGACCTGGGATTTTATCTCCTTTGCATTGATCACCCTTGCTTCCCATGACTTCCACATATAACCTTGCCGATTGAGGCCATTCAAGAAAGTTGATGCCATCTAGTTCTACAATCATAATGCAAACATTGGGACTATCATCAGTCTGCATACAATAACCAGATGTACTTTTTCACTTCCTTTAGGCATTCATCACATAGAAACATCTCTTTAGAAACTTTAAGTGCCTATTTGGAAGGGTTTTCACACAGTGGCTTGTGGCTTTGCAAGGTTGTCCCACACAAAAAGCCTAGAAGCTATGGTGAAAAAACAGTAAAGTCCAAATACATTATACATTTTAATTCAACTACGAAATCGGCTTTCCAGTGAAGCTAGTTTTAGTAGCTTCTTCAAAGCAGTTCAGTCAACACAACTCAATCAAAGCTGAAGCTCTCCCAAATGGGCTCCAAAATCATACAAAAATAGGGTCTATGGTCTGGAAATCTTCAAAGCACACTGAGTCCAACCAGGAAAAAATACGTTAGAATGTCTATTTTTGTATGATTTTGGAGCCCATTATTGGGCAGTAAATATGATGAAATAAATCATCACAACAATCATAATACTACATGAAATGTCCTGAAACCTCATGTGGTGTCTTTTAAAATTTCATATCAAACTAATAATAAATCATCCCAAGGAGTTGCATCCTGAACAGATTACTCTGAACAAATTTTCCAATTTTTCAATGAGAAAATATATGAAAATACTATAATGTCTTAAAATCTTCCTCTGTTTAATAAAAGTTATGTTTTCTGTTGCTGATAAAAAAATGTCTTAAAATCTTGGTGAAAACATTAGCAGTTGCTGAAGGCATCAGGAGGGAGAGTTTTCTTTCTTTCTTTTTCTCAGTAAAAGGTAAAGTATATCTGTTTTTTCCAAAAATTGGGAGAAAACTCCCAGAGGTGAGGTATGACAGTACAAGTATGATAATCATAGCATTACAGAAAGTATATTAATTGTAAAAAGGGAATCTGTAGAATATCTGCAGCTTTAGCCCAAGAGAATTTTGGCAGTCTGCAGTCATGTTGCAAATAATCTCATGAGATTGGGAGGCCCTGTTTTCAAACACCCTGCTGTTCCTTTTCATCCAAATAGCCCACATTATAGCAGCTGGAATCATGTACCGTAGGGTCTTTCCATTGCTGGACAGGCCTTCCAAGTGCCAGCTCTCCAAGAAAGCAGAGATGGAATGGGGGAAAACCCATTTCAGGTGAAGGTTTACCAGAACATGAGCCTAAATGAGTGCTTATAGAGCGGTGTAGAAAAGTTGGTTGGCTCTCTCAGCATTTGAGGTGCAGGAAGGGAAATCAGCAGAAGCAATGGTAATGCCTCTTCCAATCAGCTTGTCCTTAGTGAGGTGTTTACCTAAGGCTGCAGTCCAAACCATAAAAGCAACTTAAGAAGGTACATTCAAGGCCCAAATAGTCTTAGAAGGAAAGGGGTGTCTCTTAAGAGAGAATTGTTGCATCATGGATTTGACTGTGAAAACTCCCTATCCCACTTCGATGTTCTGCAGTCTTCCTAATCAGGAGCAGGCAATTGCTGGAGATGGCTAAGCATCTGTGACTGTATAGCATGCTGATATCAGCAGTTGCTTGTGATAATGTTGCTAGCAGCTGATTGCACTTCTGGTATTAGAACTTGGTGCTGTGATACCAGGTTGCTAATTTGTTGCTCATCTTAAGTCAAGAAGATAGACAGAAGGGAAAATGAAGGAGCAAAGAAAAGAAAAAAGAATGTGTCAAATATTGGGTTATCCAAAAAATTAGGCCACACACCTTCATTAACTTTTATGCTAATGAGAAATAATTACATATTAGCTTCTGATTATAAATACAAACATTGCAATGGCTAAATTATCCTCATACATAAAAAGTGAAGCCTCCACCATATAAACGTGTACCATAATATCATTAAGCATGTACTTCCTAGAGGAAGTAAGGAGCTATGGATGTATGGTTTGTAATCTGCAGCTACTGTTAGGACAATATTATCTTTCTCGATAAGAATTTTATTTCTATTAAGTGGTATAAGGAGGTAGGAATGATCCAATATTGAATTAGATCCTAGAGATTCCTACTGACCCTAACTTGGATTTTGGAATAATGTTAGCTTTATACTAAATGAAACTCTAAGTGCAAGCATTAAATTGGGTGACAAATGATTGTATAATGGACATGAAACTCAATCTTTGTTTAGTAATTGAAAAACACAGATTTATAATCATATCTCCATCATTAATATCTTGTTTATTGCATTTAGGGGCCCAACATATGGATACAAGGGTAAAGTTCTTTTACCATTTGAAGATAACATGGCATCCAAAATTGGTGTACGATTTGACAAACCTATTCCTGAAGGTGTTGATCTTGGTGGTCTATGTGAAGGAACACATGGTTTCTTTTGCAATGGTGATGTCCTGGACTTGTACTGTAAACTTCATATCGCTGTTTAAAGCATTCTCTATCTCAAAGCTTTGTATCTTAAATTATTGAAGGCTTCTTTCTTTTGTAGTGAATGATCTTTGTCTGGAGTCTCCGGGGACAGAAGATTTGGACAAATTACTCATAAACACATTGTTTGAGGTTGTCATGTTGTTTCTTTTTAAATGCATGCATCAGGGTGATTTACCATTGTTGTCTACTTGCATTAGAGACTAACTACTTCAATCATAATACCAGGTTTTATCTAGTGAGAGTAGAAACACTCCTTTCATTTTGTTTATGAAAGATGTTGAAAAGTCTATTGTTGGGAATTCTGAATCAGCATCAACATTTAAGAGCAAGCTGGAAAAGCTTCCTGATAATGTTGTCATAATTGGTTCCCACACCCAGACTGATAGCCGCAAGGAAAAGGTATGCCAATTTGTTTTCTGTGGTGCAGATGCATTAGGTACTTTTTCAGTTCTGCATTTTTCCTTCTATATCTTTATTGTGATAGTAATTCCATTATTTCCATCGTGTATTTCCTTGAATTTTAAGTCTTTTGGTGCAGTCACATCCAGGAGGTCTTCTTTTCACAAAATTCGGAAGCAATCAGACAGCCCTTCTTGACTTTGCTTTTCCGGTAACAAGCCTCTGTTTTGAAATTCTTGCACTTTTTTCCTCTCTCATAATTCAGCTTGTGTTTAGTTTTTGATCCCTATCAATGTTAATTAAATCGGAGTTTCCTTTTTCACATCCTGTTGCTACATGTTTTCAGCATGCTTTTTTCACTTCTTTCCCTTGTAGATAATCCTTTATTGAGTCAGAGAGCAGTCAGTTTGTGTCCCCTCCCCAAATAAAAAGTCAATGCCAAATAGCTGGGACCAACGTTGGGTAATGGCCCTTTATTTCTGTTGTGGATGCTTGATATAATCTCTGGTTAAGCTTTGAGGAACAACAATGTTTCAGAGTTCTATTTCTATTCTCTTGACAATTCAATTCAACCAAAGGCCAAAGGGTAGAAGGACTTGAGAGAAGGAAAGGTTGCAGTGGGTAGTGCAAATAGGATTCATTCAAAAGGGATTTGACTGGTTGCAGTGCAAATACAATATGCATAATGCACTGATGCAAATGTGGGTAGTGCAAACAAAAAGTTCCAATCCTAGGAGGAATTTGTTTACCCCAAATCTTAAGATAAGGAAAGGTTTGGCCATTGTTAATAGAGGATTAGACTAAAGCTTTGTAGGAGGCACAAGAAAACTCACCATCAGAAGTCAATGTCCAAATTCTATTATCTTCCTTTGGGGGATCAAAAACCACCCCACCCAAAATCTAGAGCAAAGCTGAGACAGTCTCAGCTTTGAAGTCCTTAAGATCCCTCCTGAAACCCAAATCCCAGTCAAATCCATACCTTAACTTAAAAGGGACCAAGAAGGAAATCACAATCTCCTTTTTGCATAAAGAGAAAGTACAATGAAGGAAAATTTTCCTTTCAAAGGCACATCTCCCATCCAAATATGTTCCCAGAATTTCACATGTAATCCAGAGTGAAGGTTATGCTTGATGAATGGCATGAAGGAGAGTAGAATGACATGAATGGATTTCCATGGAGAATCTCTTGTATCCCTACCTAGGACTCCCACATCCCAACCATTAGCCGCTTGCCCATGAATACTCACAATTATATTTGCCACTTCTCCCTATCCTCTACTAGTCTCCACAACCATTTCCCCGAACAATGCTTCATTTCTTTTTTGAATGTTTCCAATGCCTAGTCCACCATCAATCCTGTTTTTAATGACCATCTCCTAGCTGACTCTATGATCTTTTTTCTCTTCCCTTGGTTCCCACAAGAAATCTATCATCAGTTTTTCCAATATTTACTTTCTTTAGGATCCTAAAGACAGATAAAAACTAGCTAGGTAGGTTTGTCAATGAAGATTTTATCAATGTTATTCTCTCTCCCATGGGCAAATAATTTTTCTTCCATGAAGCTAACCTTTCAATAAACCTATCCTAGGTCCCAAAAACCGTTATTTCTCAGGTTATCCCCTAAATGCAATCCCAAATAATTCAAGGGCCACTGAGAAACCGCACATCCTAGAACTTCAACCCTCTCTATTGCCTCCCTTTCATTCATATTTATCCCCACAACACAACTTTTATCAAACTTCGCTTTCAAATTAAACATCTTCTCATACAATTGCACCCCCAACTTCAAATTTTTAATCCACCTAATATCCTCTCCTCACAAAACAATATGGTGTCATAAGCAAATTGTTGAGTAATGGGTACCCTATCCTACCAACCCTCCAACCCCTCACCAAACTTCTAGAATCTACCCTTTCTATTAGCTTTCCCAACACTTCAGTAATTAGAGTGAAAAGGAAAGGGGAAAGGGGGTCTGGGTCCCCTTGTCTAATCCCTCTAATTGCTAGAAAGTGATTTACTACTGCTCCATTTACCAAAATTGGATAATGGCAAGTTTCAATACACCCCTACATCCATTTACACCATCTCTCCCCAAAACCAAAAGACTCCATCACTTGTATCAGAAAAGACCAGTCCACCATATATGCCTTCTCCAAATTAAGTTTACACGCTAGCCCCTTTTTACCAGATCTCTTCAAGGTCTCCATAGTCTCATTTGCAATTAGGATTTGATCAACTCTTTGTTTGTTTATCACAGAGGCACTTCAATTACGAGACACAATATGTGGTAGAACAATTCTAATTCTCCAAGAGAGCACCTTAGCAATGATTTTATACACCCTATTCACCAAACTTATAGTTCTAAATTCTCTTGGATGACTTGCACCACATTTCTTTGGGACCAATGCAACAAAAGTGGAATTCAACCCTGGATTAATCACCCCTCTCTTGAAAAATTCATTGAAAACCTTTTAAATATCCTACTTTAGAATGGTCCAACAATCTTGATAAAAAACCACTGTAAACCCATGTGGACCCGGTGCTTTAGGTTTATCCATAGAAAACATTGGTTCCTTTATTTCCTCTGGATTGAAACTCCTTGATGATTTGGGCCAATCTAGTCCATCTAACCACAATCTATTCTTTAGGAGTCTCCCGTATATATTATTTAAAATGTTCTACAAATGCCCCTGCAATCTCCAAATGTTGCGCGTGAGTCATCCATTAATCTCCAATTTATGTATGAAAATTTTCCTTCTTCCATTGGCTAGAGCATGAAAATATTTTGTATTTCTATCCCCCTTTCTCACCCACTTATGCCTCCAACTAATTTTTTCTTTAAACTAAAGATTCCTCCAGTTGCTTCCTTAAGGCCCACCTCATCTCCTTATCCCCATCCTCAAATGTCCCTTCCTCTTGGCATCCAAATCCTCAATTTGGCTAATAATCTCTTGTTTCCTCTCTTCAATCCTTCCAAACTGTTGGATGTTCCATTCCTTTATCTTGGCTTTTCATTCCTTTAATTTCCAATGGAACTTCATCTCTTCCCAATTTACCCTTAGATTACTATCATTCCACCAATCATTTACTTTCTCAACAAAACCAGGGTGAGACAACCACATGTTCTTAAATCTAAATGGGGCTGGACACTTGGACCTCTACTACCCAACTCTTCTTTAGCAATGGTAATAGGCCAATGATCAGATGTTACCCTAGGCAAAGCCCTGGAAACTACAATTCTCATCACAACTTATGATGCAGAAAGTCATTTGTAAATACAAATGAATCTTTTTTTTTTTGGGGGGGCGGGAAGGGATATGAACAAAGGTAGAAGGGTGATAATTGGGATTTAACTGAAAAAATTGTGAGTTATCGTCAATGATTTGCAGAGAAAAAAATACAGGAAAATTTCACTTGTCTGTAGAATTACGAAATTGGGCCTGTTTGTCTAGTGTTTAAGTTTTTTTTCTTTTTAAGGGAAAATATGAATTAACTTTACCAAGATTCTAGGAGAGTCAGTCACTTCATTTGTATAATTGAAATTTATTTACACTGGTTCTAGGTGCCATTGCTTGGTGTAATGGTAATTGGAAAACCTTGGGCTGACAAGCATGAGAACTACATGTTTGAGATTGAGAGCGGCCACTTTCTAGATCCTTATCCAGTTTACCCCTCCCAAAACGGCAAAGATGGTACCAGAACTGTTTTTTTTTTTTTAACCTAGGTTGCGTTGTCATGCATTAGAATTAGATAGTTAACTGGATGAGAACATGTTTGCATGTTCCCTTTATCATGAGGTCTAGGTCTCCCCCTTTCAATGAATTAGAAGGATTTTATCTGAAATTAGGTTTTGTGCAGAAGCTGCATACTGCCTCTTGATAAGAACAATGGTAATCATCCATCACATAAAGTTCCCCTTTGAAATTGGGCCTGCTTGAATGGGCTTTGCCTATAGGCTCAAGAAGAAATGCCATACAGGCTTGTGTCTGCCTGCATGAATTACTTTTTGGATAATTGGATAAGTAATAAAAGGTATGGATATAAATAAAATCACTTTCCTTCAATCCTCAAAGTAATTAAGCAGCTATGAGTTCAGGTTTGTCTGTTCCTTATGTTTGATTTGATATCTTTGATAAACTCAAGGAGTTTATAATAATACAGGTAGTATTTGAGTAGACAGAGCGGAGAAGATGAAGAATGCAGATGTCTTTTACTTACTTGTAATTAACCAGTGGATTTTAAGTTATACTTTCTTTCTGCTTATCATCTTGGCCTGTTTCTAGCTCATAGATGCAATCAGTCCAATATGGTCAATTTCAGAAATTGAATGCTTTACTAGAAAACAGGATGTCCCTGTGTATCTATCAGTTACTAGTTGCCATTTCCAAATACCTGTTTAAACTGTTTTTTCTCTTACTCTTTTTACATTCTTTACCTACAAAAATGAAACATATGTTCAACTTGTTCTGTTGCTGAACTTGTGAAGAGAGGATCTGTTTTGACATGATTACTTTTTGTTTTCTTCCTCAGGATAGTTTTGGTAGACTGCATGACAGAAACAAGGAAATCCCCAAAACAACAAAAATGTTGGCAAAACTGTTCCCTAATAAAGTGACCATACACATTCCCCAGGTGCATAGGAGTGGCTTGCTTTTTAGTCACTGTTCTTGTTTTTTTTCTTTTGTTAAAGCATCTTATGGCAGCACATTTTTCTGTAGGATGAAGCTGTGCTTGCAAGCTGGAAAAATCAGTTAGATCGAGATGCTGAAACCCTCAAAGCAAAGGGAAATTTGAATAACCTCCGTAATGTAAGCAATTCTCATCATTGCTTATTATATATGAGATGTTTGCAGCTTTTCTGCCTGTAACATGAATTGAAAGTCTTTTATTTGAGCTACAAATTTTATTGCATCACTCTTTGAATTGTGATATGGCCCTGAGTCCCTGACTACTTCTTAATTGTTGAAATCTTTTCTTGCTGATAAAAAAAGTCTCAGTGAAGAAATAATAGATTCTCCCCTTAGTGGGTTAGGTGATTTGCAGAGTTGGTAGAAAATCCAATAACATTGCTATTAAATATTAATTACTTGTTCTTTGATTAAAGTGCAAGGCCTTTTTGTTGGTGGGGCAAATTGGGAGGATGGAATTCCTACTACATTTTTTTTATCTTTTTTTCTGTTAATTAAAAAGGATCAATGCCATTAATAAAAACTAGTACAGTTACAAGTTTCCTTTGGAGAGGCACGAGCTGCGTCGTCTCCTACCAGTAGGAATAAAGACAAAAGATAGAAGACATATTCAGTCTACAATTGAGCCCAATACAAACTTTCCCTATTTACCCCTTGCTTTGCAAGACCATCAGCCATAGACTTTGCTGACCTCCCCACCCATTGTATTCTTACAGTCAAGCTTCTTATTAGACAGTTGAACTTTTTAATTTCATTCTTAAAACACCACACAACAGATTCCGGATTTTGTAGCCAGCCCACTACTACCTTGGAGTCTCCTTCTATTATTATCTGTTCCACACCTATCTGCACTGCTAATTGTACTCCCTGGATAGCAGCAGCAAGTTCCGCCCTAGTAGAGTTTCCAACTCCTATGGGTCCTGAGAAAATAAGRACCACATTCCCACTCTCATTCCTCARTACCCCTCCCACCCCTGACGGACCAGGATTACCAAGACTGCTCCCATCGAAATTCAGCTTCAAGAATCTTTCAGGAGGGGGTTCCCAAGCCATGCTCACTTTAGTTTTTTTGGATGAGCAATTAGCCACTGCTAACCCAACATCATTGAATGAGAATTGATGGAATAAATCCAGTGATTTTAKCCATAAGATCACCCTATTTAGAATGCAGTCCTTCATCTCTTCTGGGCTTCTCTCCTTCTCTTGGAAAATTCTGGCATTCCTTTCTTCCCACACAGACCAAATCAGCGCTTCTCTTGCACACCTTCACATAATTCTTCCTCTTCTGTGCCGCCAAGGGAAGAAAGCAGGATCAAAGAACAAGCTTGCATCTTCTGGCCTAACCAACCTGCACCCAAACAATGAGAAGAGCCACTCCCATAACTCGGTAGTAAATGAACAAGATATTAGTATATGGTTACAGTCCTCACCATGTGACCTACAAAGAATACACCAGGAAGGTGAGAGGCAGAGAAAAGGTCTTC